GACACAAATATTCGCTGAAAGCAACAATTTGGATCTCAGCCAAAATCAAAGGATCGACGACCGATGTCTTTTTGTCCTTTTATTGATGAAACGAAATAGAAATGCAATGCTAGCAATAGACGGCAGGACTATGTCTACAAAAAGGAAACAAGTCTATCGGGAACATAAGACGCATAATGTCTTAATTTATCCACATTCCTTAACGTCGGGGATTAATGTTTATATCGCAAATACATTTGCGGTTTACTAACTGAAATACCAACGACCGCGTGTAAGTAGAGAATGTAACCGCCAGATTATTATACTTTAAAGACTAGTTTATTTATAGAAATAAAATAACCACACTCTTGGGTCTACAGAAGAACACTTTATAAGCACACAAGACGCAATAGCAAAGCATAATAATAACCTTACTGTGCCAATAAAGTTAGAGATTAAATTATATTATAAAAAAAGGTTTTGTTAGCCCAAATAGAGTTAAAAAGAAAAGTAATCAAGTACTCAAGAAACGTATAAGATTAATAAATATTACGTTTAAATCAAGAACCGTAACCACACATCACTTATTCCCGCCATTCAAAATATTTTTTTAAATCACTCCAAAAAAACACAAATTTTTACAAACTGCCAGAAACATCGCGTTTTTTTTAAAAAGCAAATAGACAGGCGCGCGATTCATACGTCCAATCGTAACTTACTGTACTCGTGAAAACTTTGTCGGTAAATGACGACCAAATAGTAATGCAAATAAAATAAATATAGACACATTTAATTAAGATTCAAGGTGTGTTCATCTCCAAATATGATCGACTTATGCTGCTAGAATTTATGACGTGACAACGAAAACGGCACGATGGATAAATGATCGCAGTTTGACATATTTTCTTCAAATGCATTCGAAGCACGGATTTTTATACTCAATGATATTTATGAGTTAGTATATCTCATTGATTGGTTTCCATTGCGGAAACATTCATACAAAAATATATTGTCGTCCCTTTCATTCCACTTGAAGAAAACTGAGACAGTACTATGGTTTCGTGTGTGTTTTGGCAGATAATGCTCACGAAGGATTACGAATCTTATTTTACTTCAATTCAAATCAAAGAATCTTGTGAAAGAGCTACACATAATATATAAAAAATCTCGTAAAGGTAGACATCAAACTGCGTATTACACATGACCTTCATAAAGCACAAAGAAACATGTATTTATGCGTGCATTTAATGCTAGGTTGATTTTACAAACGCATAAGAAGTATATTTAAAATACAAAGACGCTTGAACAAAACTTTAAAAAGCAATGTTTTAAATTGTAGGCAAATTAGTTTAGAAACTCTTATATTTAATAATTCTGTTTATCGAGAATTTTTATAATTTCAAAGTATCAAGATGAACAAAATTCTGTATAATCCAACAAAGCGTGTCTCGGGAAATTGTTAATCTTCTGCCCAATTGTCCTTAATGACAAGTCACTGGCAACTTGGTACATTTTTCTTCCAAGTAACACCATTGGACCATTTCAAGTATGTATAATGCGCATAGCATTTATGTATGTCTGTTTTATAAATCAAGTTCGTTAAGAATGGCGTAAAAGATTTCGACATTTACCCGCAAAAAAAAAAACTATTATTTATACATTTCTGTAAGACTCCATGAAATTATTATAGATACAAGAAGTCTTCAAATCGTACAGTAAAAGCGTATTACGTAAAATATACCATGAACAATTAAAACCTAATAATTGACACCATTTAACAAGAGCCAATAAAATCGGTGCAATCCAACAACAAAAAAACAATTTATCTTGTATTGAATTTTAAGTAGGATGTAAACTTCAATCTTACTAATATTATAAACGCGAATGTATGTATGGATGTTAATCAGAAGAAATTGGTTCCTGATATTTAGCATACATGTAGAAGACAGTGATCCAGGCCATATAGCCTAGGTGTTATTAAGTTATTTTTCATTCTGCGGAGACAGAATCGTGGGCAGATGTGAGGAGACAATAAATTTATAGAATGGCATTATCTTCCCCTAAACTAAATATCTTAGTACAGTTGCCAACCTGCTTGCCAAGTAGGTCACCTATAGAGTTTATTTGTATTAGTCCAATTCAAAAGTTTTCCTGGTAAGCAATACTTGCATACCAAGACTGTGAAGAACTCTTAGACTATAATTTATAGTGTAAGAGACAGTAAAAATTTATCTCTAACCAGTTTTATCACAATTTATTAAATCGAATATAATATTACCATCCAAAAAACTAAAAAGAAAAACGTAAAATAGATATATAAACTACTATGAATTGATGGTGGAAATAGATAAATCAAAAACTACTTGTCAGTTTTTCTGTTCCCCTATCCCATCAGTAGATCTACTTTTCCTATATAAACAGCTGGCGATGGTCTTGAGAGTACATACATGTTTTGGATTAATCATCATTCCTTGCAATATAATGATCAATTGATTAGTCAATATGTTACCATATTTAATAATCATGAACTAGTTTATCAATAGTTCTCTTATATGCAACTTATAGATAATCCTAAATAGTTCAACACAGGTAATTATTAAGGAATTCCGCAACACGATATCTTTGTTAAGACAAAGACTTATAGAGCATAGTATTTTTACAAGGAATGCTAATTTGCAGTATGAGTTGTTTGTGGGCAATTTTTTATATCTCAAGGTGGCAAAAGAGTGTGCAACCAACTGAATTTGCCCAAATAGCAAAGCGACCACTGCCAATGTTGACAAGATGTAGGAGAGGTGACAAAACCATTTAACCTCCCCTCCTTTCCTTATAAGAAAATGGTGGGACAAGAAAGGGCATAAAATTAAACCTCCAGCATGCACACTCATCAGACAAATGTGGAATATGTTCCACTTCATGCCTGTTTTTTGTATAGTTGTGATGCAACAGTCAACCCGGTCTTCAATTTAAGTATAATTTGTGCAACATATTATGATGTTATTGATTCTACCATCGCTTATGATTTTCTTATTGATTGTTGAACTTTGTCATAAAACTGTAGAGGTATAGTTAAATAATATCAGTTTTTCAAGGGTATAAAATAGACATAACAGAGTAGGTATTAGAGTGGTGCAGGAATTTAACTGTAATTATTTGAAATCTGTCCTAATACATTGAAATTTCTCATCTTCAAGTTGGATCTAAGCTACTAAGAATAATATAATCTGTGTTATCTTCACATTTTAACAATTGTTTAAAGAAAGAAGTATGTAGTAATTTTTTTTTAATATAAATTTATCTATAGATATATAATCGATGAAGTTTTTTTAAATATAAGCACATAAATAATTTACAGGAAGCATAGCGACATTAACTTCTTGAAAATGTATATTTTTAAATTACAATTAATAAGAACATAATAATCATCGTTTTTCTTGGTATATTTCGATGCAACAATAACAGCATTTAGGTACACTGAAATTTAAAAAAAAATAATAAAACAACTCACCTGTAGCACACCGGAAAATATTTGAATCTTTTTGTTTGAAACCTTGCATACACTTGTATTTTAAGTTTTAAGTAAACCGAAAATATATATTCAAATTGTGTGTTATAAATCACAATTTGTTCACAATAAACAATGCATTTGAATAGAAAAGAAAAACAAACTCTCGCACTTGGTTCAACTCTTCTCTATCTCAAAGAGCAGCCGCCTGGAGCAGCCGATTGATTGATTTGTTTTGAGTTTTGACTCTGTGGTTTTAACTTTTACTGGAGACAGATCATATTCAAGTTTTGATAGGGCAATTCTTTAATATAAAAAAAATACAAAAATAATTAAAACATCCCTAAAAGAAAAAGGAATTTAATTGATAATTTTAACAGATTTTAACAATAATTCACTTTACTGTATTAAAATGCTGAATAGCTTAGAACTTATTTTGATATGACAACATTAATACTGTTTAAAACTTGAGGTCGTGATGTTGTTAACTTTAATCTGATTTGATTAACAAGAGTTAATTTGAATTTTAAATATATTCCGTTTTCTTAACATTCTCACGAAGTCTAGAAAATTATGGTAAAGAATCTTTGAATTATGTAGCTAAAATTATTACTATCTTGAGTTGCCACTACCATAAAATCTGTATAAAATTGGTTAAGCGACGTAAGGCTACCAAAAATATATTTAATTGATTCGAATAATTGTTGCACATTTTTTTTTAATATTTATTAATATGGTTGGTTTAAAAATAGTCTTCTAAAAATTAAGAATACAATTGCATATGTAATAAATATTTTATTTAAAGTCATTACAACATTTTATTTTGTGTTGATATTTATTCAAATAAAATTAATACAATTGTTTTGTGATGCTGTAAATATTGAATGATTTAATCAACACTGATGCATGTTAAATTTATGTCAAGTAATAATATACCAGCAAACTTAAACCTTAAACCAAATCTTTTATCAATAAAAAAAAACATATTTTTATATTTTTCCAATGAATAAAATTAAAAACTATCATTATGATTGGTATAGTCTAAAATATATTTTTTGTACACACACAAAATAAATCATTTGTAAAAAAAATAAACAAAAACATGATTCATTTGGAATACTGTTATGTTTAAGTTTTATCTGTCACATACAGAGACGATAATTGGTCAGTAAGGGAGACTTTTTAATATAGATATATAATATAATAAGAGTGACAATCTAAGGTCTCTGAATAAGACAGTATTTAAATCTTAATACATTTATTGTACATTTAAAACTGTTTACTTCTGCATTATATTATTAAATATAATTACCACAATGTTTTGTGACAATTAATTTTTTTATTATTATTTTTAATAATTTTATGACCTGGTAACAAAGACCTTTAAGTCATGTCTTATTTGGAAAATGTTCATTATTTTGGATTCACTACACTTCACTTTACTAAAATTCGTCGTTTAAATGTGACAATTAAAATCTACTCATGCAATAGATAATGTAACAAAACATAGACATAGACAAGAAAATGTCTTAACCCACAACAATATGACATTACAAGTTTTTGTTTTTAATTCATTTATGTAGTAAATTACAGTCTATAATTATATAGATGCATTTTTCAATTTATAAATAAATTGAGACTTGATTAAAAACGACAAGAATGAAGATATTTGTTTTAAATTCCGTAATAATTTAGTTTTATCAACAGAGGCTTCACCCTTAACTTAGGGTAGGCTCCGAGCCCCTCGATGGGGACGTATAGTGAGCTGATGATGATGAACAGAGGCTTGACAGGATTGACATTTATCGACCTACACTCGATTAAAATCTATAAAATATACGAATTTAATGCGTTTTTCCATTGTTATTTAACATTTCTCATGACGCCTTTTACGTGTACAATTATTACTCGAACTATTGGGCAGGTTTTTTCTGCCCCCAGTACAACTGACACGAGAGAGATAAAGAGTTTCAACACGTTGAATGCTCAGCATGTTTACTTCAAACGTAAGGGTCCATTACAACCATTCGTAGTTAAATAGATACATGGGTTTCTTCAATCAGCATAAGAGGTCTCCAACAGCCCTCGCGCCGCACTCGCTCGCCCAGTACACACCCCCACAGCTGCTTATCAGACCCCAAACGTACGGCGTGAAGAATTCCTCCGGTCTCTCCTCTTCTACATAACGGAATTTCAAATCTGGGAATTTCTGAAATACATAAAATGTACCATAAAAATACCAATGCCAGATATTTATAAAAAAAATAGCTTATTTACCGTGGGTTTTTGAGACCTAACACTCTATATAATACATATCGTCATCCCCATCGGGGATTTTGGTCTCAGAAGTAGACCGTTAGTAAAGCAAATGAAAGAAATAATAATTTGTTAAATACAATTTTACTAGCTATATTAATTATTCATTTTTTAATTGTGATTACATATGTCTTTGATATAAAAATTTTTGTTTAAGCCATTATTGTCATTACAAGTTTGACTTGCGCACTAAATGCTGTCAAACAGTCTGTGTATTTAAAGAGAGAGAGAATAAGGGTATCTCTGGGTTGACACTTTGTACCTTTAGCCTGTCACTGGACCATTGCTCTGCGCCCTTCTTGATGCACTGCAGGACTTCAGTGACGCCGAGGTCACCGCCCGCACCCTCCTGCACCCGCTGGAGACGCGTCGAGAAATATCCTATCACCTACAAACAAAATATTATTATAATATTATATATGCGAATGTTTACATCGAAGGATGTGTTAGAAGGTATCTACAGAGCGGCTGCATGGATCTTGCTGAAATTTGGCATCAATTTAAAACATAGTCTGAAATACATAGGCTACTAATTAATTTTTTTTTAATTCCTCATGAAGGGGCTACTAATATTAGTGCTAGTAATATTTTAAGATGTATGGATAGATAGATATTAGTTATAAGGTATATCTGTAACGGCTCAATGTATTGCAATGTTCTATATCTTTACTAAATTTCATCTTAATCCATATCTTTCCAGAGATATACATTATTCTTAGTGACGGGGAGGAGGGGGATCTTTCAAAGATACCCAACCTACGGGGAGGGGGACAGGGTTATGTGGGATTTGACCCACGAAATCCCTCTCAAAACTCGAGTACAATAGTGGAGGGTTCCGGGATCTGCAAAGAATGCTTTGGAAATTCTAGACATACCTTGTAACAAACATCTATCCATACAATAAATCGCATATATATTAGTAGGATAAAATAAAATTATAATATCAATGATAATGACCATCTCAATGTTCTGTGCGATGTGATGATGATGCTGATGATGCTGGTGGTTGAAGAGGTGTCGCTTGTGCAGCAGCGCGTACACCAGGTTCAGGTTGGAGGGCAGCTGGTGTGTCAGACATGAGTTGATGATCTCCAGCAGCATCCGGATTACCTCGTCCAGTACTGCTATATGGTCCATCTGTACAACGTTAACATTTGATTTTTTTTTGTAATCTAACTAAAAATCTGTCAATTTTTTTTAATATTTTCACTTTTTTAACACGTTAGCTGCCAGAATGATTTTTCGAAAAACGAAAAATTTTTTTTTTAATTTTCTCCGAAATCATTTGAAAACACCTAAAAATATAGTAATACCTTATTTACATTGCTCATATACTTATTATTTACATATGAATAGAAGTATGGCTTGTCGGACATATAGTCCGACATGACAGCTAACGTGTTAACTTATATTTATCATAAAAATTATGTACAATACATAAATCTACTTACAACCTCTTCAGTTTTTTCTTCTGCATGATGTGGCAATTCTAAAGTATTTATATCTCCACCTAAAATAACAAAATGGCGTCATATATTTATTTTTTTATGATAAACAAATCAAATATTAAAAATACTTACCTTCTATTTCACTACACAGTCTTGATCTTCTTTTCGTTAATGTTTCAAATAATGATACTATTCTTTGGGCAACATATGGATGTAGATTTCTGAATTCACCTGCAAACAAATTTTTAAATCAAGCAAGCCACCCCTGTCTTTAGATTCATCTACTTTAAACAGACAGGAGAGATGTACAGGGTAAAGATTCCCCTCCCCTTCCCACGACTTTACAAGGAATTACTTCCACTTGACACTTGTCTTATAAAGTATTTGTTTAGCAAATAGCTATGTAGTGAAACTAGCTGTTGCCCGCGACTCTGTCCGTGCGGAATTAAAAAAAGCCTAGTAGCCTATGTGTGCGTCCAGAGTATGTTCTACATCTATGCCAAATTAGAGCGAGATCCTTACAGCCTTGGAGATACCTACTAAAAAATTTCAATCCATACATCTAAACATTAGTATTTATAATATTATTATAGTAAAATGTATAAACTTACAGCTCATATTAGCGATGGCAGCCAGACAATTAGTATGCAGATACTTGTCTCTGACGCGCGCCATGTTGTACTGCAGCGCGCGGACCACCACCAGCACCATCAGACCTCCTAATGATATTTCTGATATCGACCGCTCTGTATACCATGTTAGATTCTTCAACATCTGTAAATAACACATTACTATTTAACGCCTGTTACCCGGAAGGGTAGACAGAGACGTCAGAAATTTTTAGCGTCAGTGGCTTAGGAGTTAAACACTTGATTTGCAATCTGCATGTCCTGGGTTCGAATCCCGCCATGTACCAATATGTTTTTCGATTTACGTATGTACATTTATTCGATATTCTTACGGGGAAGGAAAATATCGTATTACAGCCTTTATATATCTGAGAAGAAATTCAAAGATATATGTGAAGTCAATCCGCAGCGTGCCAGCGTTGACTATGGCCTTCAAATAACTTAGGCTAAGCTCCGAGCCCCTCAGTGGGGTCGTATATACGATATAGGATGCATGGGTAGGGAAAATATTTTCTTTCTGTGCATCCTCTCCTCCGTCGATTAAAGATAGGCAACGCATATGCAATTACGGACGAATTTCAGTGATTTCAGGTGGCTGCTCGCTGGTTTGCCACCTTATGATATATAAAATCCGTGTAATCCGAACAGTCAACTTACAATAAGATGTACATTCTTGATAAGAGAGTCGTCTTCAGTAAGAATAAGCAGGACTATGAGAGACATGTAGATGTGATGAGAATTGCTGTCAGGAGCGTTGTACAACACTTGCAGGATGGGCACTATCTGAAACATTGTATAAACCGCTTATTACAACATATCGGTTACAACGACCACAATCTGTAGGATTCCAACTGAACTATAATTGCTGTATAAAAATATAATTTTAGTTTATTAAAAAAAAATAACAGGATAGGAAGGAGAAGTGGATCAGACGAGGCAGGTGACGTATTAGTACCTTGAAACATCCATCCATCCATCCAGACATTAGTATTTATAATTGTAAGATATACTTACTAGGTCTTCAATATTAGCGACTGTGGTGATGTGTCGCTTGTATGCCTTGCATGAGTGCAGCATCAGGTACAGCAGCAGTGTGGAGTGCTCGCACCCCGCAGTCGCACTCAACGCCTTGTGTAACTGAAATATCATACAACACTAGCAGATGCCCCTGACTTGCCGCAGAATTTAAAATAAAAACATCTAGATATATAGCCCTTATTAACAGTAATTGTTTAAATCACTTTAGTAGTTTCCGAGTTAATTTAATGCAAACAAACAAATCTGCCATCTTTTTAATATTGTACTGAATAAAATACAAACGACATCAGTAAAAAGTTCTTAAATTAAAGGTATCTAGATTAAGCTTTAACATTCAAAATATCTATTTGGTTTCGTATGCTATATAAAAACAAACATTTTTGTCTTGTTTTTCAAAGAGAATGAAACATAATTTTACATATACCTGTTATTTAAACATAGATAATTCCAATAATGATAAATAAAAACGTAATAAAATACTAAAGAAGAGATAAAGAGAGAAAGAGATCTCGAAAGTGAGATGCATGTATGCGAAGATACGAATGTAGAAGCAAGACAGGTGACCGGACCGCACCAAGTTGTCCGTGGTCTCTGTCTACCCCTCTGGGTGATACGCGTGAGTTATATTGTATATATTACCGCTGCCATATCTATCCGAGGTGGTGTGACTTGAGCACCGCCGCTAGAATCGCGCTGTGGTGTCGTTGTTGAAGTTTCTGCAACAAATATTACTTTGAAAAGTGAATCTTTATCGAAAAGTTTTTTTTTTGTTTTTTAACCGCAGCCAATTTTTTTCCGCTGGTTCTTAATTTTCTTTTCTAACCATAGAAAAAAATCATGTGATATGCACAAGCTATTCTAGGATTCCCTTATGTTTTACTAGCCGATGCCCGCGACTCCGTTCACGCGGAATTAGAAAAAAAAACTCAATTGGTATATGAATATGCTGTTTGTTCCTTCAGATTATGTTCTACATCTATACTAAATTTCACCGAGATCCATGCAGGCGGTCTGGAGATACCTTCTAACAAAGATCCATCCATACATTTAAACATTCGCAAAATATTATTAGTAAGTAATATTACGAAAAATGTATCTTTCTATTTGTCCGCTTAAAACTCTGAATACGGCAGTATCCTGACCTGCAGTATCCTCACAGCATAGTAATGCGTTCCTGTACAAATTGTCCTGCGTCATACAGTGGTTGGCCAGCGCCAGCAGCAGCAGACAGGACTGGTTGGCGACTCCATGCTCGCGCCGCAATCGATCCAGTAACTCGCGCCGGTCCAGTGCTGGCTGGCTGTAGATAGTCTGACGCACGCCTCCGCCTAGACGTAGCATGCTCCAGAGACCAGCTGGAATACGTATGTACGTATCCTTTATAAAATTGTTTGTCACAAAAGAAACAATCCAAATAGAAAGATTAGTAATTCTGACTAGTTCAAAAGTTTTCGAGCAAGACAATAGGGAGAAAAAATGATAGTTTGTAAATTATTTTTAACAGAAAAATTACTATTCCCATCTGTTGATGCATTCCGGCATCTTATTACTTCCAGTACAGACAATAATTTTTTTTATATCGCTGGAATGACATATAAAACTTTGACAGATGACAGCTGACTTTTGAAGTTTATGAAACCTAATTAGAGTTTGCAGTTTTTCTCATTGATTGAATACTTACATGCTAAATTAACTAGAAGACTATCTCCAGTCCCTGTGCCAAACATGTTGGGTGGAGCGGGCGCCATGTTGGATAAGTTCACTAGTAAAGTCTTCACTAGCAATGGCGCGTGCATGCCGTAACGACCTTGAAAAAGCGTTCTGTAATAAGAAATACATTTTATAAATCAATCTTACGTACATTATCATAAGGCACATTTTTATAATTTATTCCGTGTTTCATATATTTTTTCAATTAATTTCATAATTACTAATTTCTATTTATATTTGAAAGTAATGATAGAAGGAATAGTAGATTTTAATTGTTTACTGCATTTTGTCTTTAAAAACATGGGATAGTTTACTAACCGTGGATTTCTGAGATCAAAATCCTCGTTTAAACAGAAATTTTTGTCTCGGAAACCCACGGTTAGCCATTGAAGTACTGACTGACACTACAGGACAGATTAAATGACACTTCAAACTACAGGATTAGGCTTTTTAAGCTTGACAATAGAGTTATATTTTACCTGTATATAAGTGAGGTCTCCACAAGCCGTGTTTGTCCATGGACTCCGGCAAACATATACACTGACATCAGCACTAAAAGTGTATTTATACACTCCAAATGTAAGTAATATGTATTATCCCTGTAATAAATAAAAAACACATTATTCTAAATTAAAAAAAAAAACTAAATCCCTTTTCCACTAGTGCGACTTATCCCACAAATCTCAAGCACTATTGAAATTTCGACTGAGCCAGGATTCCATTGATAATTTTTCAATAACGCTAGTGAAAAAGAGGTTTAATATATCATGTATCCATTAGTATGTGTTGTAACTTACGTGACAGGAACATCAATTATAATTCCAATAAGGGCATCTACCAACATTTCAACTCGGCTCTCGCTGACCGTCAACTTGGGTGAGGCGGGGGCTTCAGGAGCGTGGGTCGGTGTTGATGTAGGTGGGGTTGGTGATTCTGGAGTCTCCGGGCCTGGTTGCCCGGGTGGCTGGAATATACAATATCCTATTAGGAGCTTGTTGGTTTAAAATAAATACATACATAGACAAACAGCACACTTTCCAATTTAACATGAAAACTTTCAAATATTGTCAGAAAAAACTTTTTCTCACACAGCAATGTACCATTTGCAAAGTACCACAATGGATGATCTTATTACTTACATATATTATAAAATGCGAATGTTTAGATGGATGGATGGATGTTTGTTAGAAGGTATCTCCAGAATGGCTTAATAGATCTCGACGTAATTAGGCAAGAATGTAGATCATAATCTGGAAGCCCACAAAGGCTGCTAATTAAGTTTTTTTTTAATTTTACATTGGTAAAGTCGAGGGCAACAGCTAGTATTATATAAGAAAACTTACCGGTGTACCAGTATCCCCAACATCTACGGGACCATTGGCTGCGCGTACTGCATTAACATCCAGATGTCTACACAGCTCATACTCTGGTACTATTTCAACAAGGTATTTGCTCACCGCACGTATCACAAACAATGCATTGAATGTCTGCCATGCTAGCATTACACTAAAATAACGTAATAATTGGTAATTCTGTGAACTTTCACTATCAAAACACTTGTATAAAAATATTGTTAAAAAAGAACTCGTGAATTCAATTTAGTATTGACATTATTCCTATTCTTTTTTTTAAATTTTACAGCAGTGGAAGTATAAAGTCTGGTGAAATAAGACATTAACAATGTTGATTTTATTGTTATGTTTACTGCCAAAATACTTATATGAAAAACATATTATCACTGCTTATTCAGAAAGATAAAAAAAAAAATTACTTATTGTTGCTTCTATACTGTTAAATTAATAATATAAGCTGGATAAGCAAGAAACTTTTAATAGCAAGAGTCATTATCCAGTCCAGAGGGACAGTGTTCATAAGCGAGAAAATTGAGTTAGAGAGAAATCTCTATAAGCGAGAAAAATAACACAGTTCTTTTGACTCCAGTTTATCCGGTAACTGTACTTTGTTGTATTTTCAATAATGTTTTATCATCATCATCGTCATCAGCTCACTATATATCCCTACCTAGGGGCTTGGAGCCTACCCTAAATCATGTTTTATATGACTTGCTAATTATATCAAACTGTTGTACATTCGATAACATTAACTGGAAACATATTAAATTTCAACCTTTTTTTCTCTATCTAAAACCTTGATAATATTTTTTAATATAAGTTTTTATGTTTTCTGTTATCTCAGACATGGGTTTTCATGTTAAAATTTAATTGCTTTTGATTGATAATGATATTTCATAATAATAACAAAACACAAAATGACATTTTTTATCATGGAATTCCTCAGTTTGTTTTTACATATATTTTAATTAAATGTACAATTAAATATGATTGACTTGAATATTGAAGTGTGTTCACACATGTTAGTATGTTATAGAGTGAATGTGGACAACTACAAAGGTAGAGGAAGACCAAAAGTATGGATGGATTATGTGAAATAGAATAAACGTAAGAAGGGAGTGAATATGATGGCTTATAGAGATGTATGGAAGAGTAGTACATACTGTGCCGACCCTCTGTAGGGACAAGAACAGGTTGATGATGATGCTGGTATGGTATTTAAACTTACTTGTCACTATTAGGTGCTGCCAATAGTTCAGTGGCTCTTGTGATAAAAACCTGAACTAGAGAGCCCAAGTTCCCAGTCTGTAAATTGTTTTGTAAGAACTTCTGTAAGAGAGCCTCTGTGCTTGAGTCAAATATCAGTTGCTCATCCCTGCAAAAGTATTTATAATAATAATTTAAAATAATGAATTAATATTTAACATAAAAAAAAACAATCCAACTGGCATTTGAGGCACAAAAAGTTAGTTTAAAATTTGACTTTGACAATTTAAATATTGTTAAGAAATTAAAGTAAGGAACTTACGTATTATTTGGCAACTGAATGTTAAAAGCCAACAACTGATTCCAAAATGGATCATTTGGGCAGATAATTTCGGAAGAGCAAAATCGGGCAAGCAGTTCATTTGATGATATGTCTGAATATCGGCTTATAGCCACTCCCATTGTTTATCTGAAATTAAAGATTAAAAGATTTTTAGAACAACAAAAGGCTTTGAAAAACACAGGAAATGGCCAAATGTCAAAGGTGAATCTTATTAATTGGATTTGATGGGTATTTCTCATCTCGTATTCCATTAGGAATATTATTTTGGAATTTTGACGAGTATCATTGCTGAATGTTATTTAATTTAAATGGTAGAATCCTTCGGGCACCGGTTATTATAGTTCCGAATAAAAATTGAACAATTAATTATTAGTATTAAATAATATTCATGGTATAGTCGTAATGAATATATTAAGGTAATGGACCAGAGAATGTCTGTTAATACCAAGTTACGATAATTTGCCGTTAAATTGAGTAAATTATCATGTACCAGGATTTTTAAGAAAAAAATGAAAAGCAGAGGTAAACATTGCAACAGTTCTAGTGATTTTCACACATGCTACCAAACTTACCGTTTATTTGTTATTGAAATGGAATGTATAAATGATAAAATAGACTAATTAGATTGTGTTTTTTTTGTTAAATTGTTTGTCTCAGCCACGAAATCATTGTCGATTTGTCAGATGTCAACCTATTGATAATTGACAAATGATTGTCAAATCTAGCATAGTTGCCAGTTGCCAATCATATTTCCATATTAGGAAAATTCTTGTTGTAAAACTGAAATAACTTTCTATTTGTTTTTTTCTAATGATCATGATTCATTCAACAACTGAGCGAATCGTTAATTTTGTTCTAACTTTAACAACCGTATTACGCTTCCATTCCTACCGACTTATATTGCCGGCATTACTGAAAAGCAGTAACGCTATGGTGACAGATGACAATTCTGTAGGTAAGAAATGTCGGAGTTTTTAAGAAATATTTTAATGGAATTGAAAATCTAAAATAATAGCAATGCCGCCTGATTCTTACCTTGTGGAGGTCCTTCATTACTTAAATCCACATTTAATATGGATCGAAGTGATAGATCCGTCTGTTGCGCAAGGGGACAAATTTATTTTTGAGCAAATCGGTATTTATGGAGTCCTGCCTGTGGATCTTACATTAGATGTGGAAGAAGAAGACCTAAAGACACAAGTGTCGGATGTATGGTTACCAGCGGCGTTAGTCACAATTAAAAAGGCACTTGCTGACGCAATAGAAGTGAGGTTTTGTCCCACATACATTGACCGAAGGTTAGTATATGGTACTAGTATAATCTCTAAATTAACACTCTAAAAACGACCTTAGTAATTAGTAATTTCAAAATGTATTATTTTTGCAATATCTAGTTTATTTAGCCATCTACTCAGTTTTGTTTCAAGCCAAAGAAAACATAACTGAAGAAGAAAAAACCCTACTTATTACTCATTGAACTTGAATTAAATAAGCTTACTATGAACACAATGCTTATGTTTATTTAATATTGCAATTTATTGAGAAAAAATTCTGACAATGCTATTTTGTTTGTAAGAAATATGAAAATATAGTGCAATTACAAAAAATCCATTGATTTGAAATAACACCTTTTGGTCCAACTTACAATTATATTAAATCAAACAAAATAATGTTTTAAAGTAATATATTTATAGGCATTTCTAAATATTAGTGTATATCTTAGTTTTTATCTTTTCTTTCAGATCTTCAATATTTGATGACAATATTCATAAATATGGTGAATTATTAATAAAAAGACATGATAAAAAATGGAAGCGATTATCAAAGACTTTATTAAAAGCAAGCATTGCAGTCTACGACATGTGCCTTTTTCACCAACAATTAGGTTTGGGCAAATTAAACACAAGGCTGAAAAGCTCAGAGTCCCAGGCTGTGATACATGCCATAGAAAATTATTATTTAAAAAAAAATATACCCAAGAAAAATTGGAAGAAATCAGTAGAAGAAAAAACGGTAGTGAGCCATGCAGCACTAGAATTAGAATCTGAATTAACTGCTATGAATTTACAAAAGCACAATGATGTAATGCAACAAATGCTGCAAAATAAAATTAATGATTTGGAACTTTGTAAAGGTATAGATGAAGAGCCATTGGGTAAGGGTTTCAAAGGTAAACAACACAATGTTGCCAGAGAAAAAAATACTAGTGAGACATTACCTACAAATCATGAAAATAATGTCAAAGCGACATCATTGAAGAAAAAGTTAGAATTAATGGCAAAGAAAAGTAATAGCCACAAAATTGGCCATGAACTTAAAAATGATCCAAAACAAATATTGGCAAATACAAAAAAGTTTTTAGAACTTAATGCTAATAAAAATCTTGAAAGAGAAGAAAATGAAGAAATGTTAAGTAAAAATGATAAAGAAAAGACAACGGTAACGAAAAGTTATTACGATGGTCAGACATTTATTAAAGAAAATAAAAATATTCCAGGTAAGTTTTTAAACTAATAATAGTATTAATAAATTTTAATTATTACTTTAATAACTATTTGTGATTTTATTTTATAGGAACAAAACAACTGAAAACACCTCAAAAAAAATGTCCTGTGAATGAAAAAAGAGTATGTTATGGACCACCTGGTATTTTACCAACAAAGTTATCAGTAAAAGTATTGGTTGAAAATGTTGAAGATCCACCAATTGCCCGTGTTGATAATCAAGTAAAAACTGTAGATAAAGAAGATATTTTTGCTAACATAGATTCAGGTTTAAATGTAGAAATAACTAATAAAAATTGCCTGATGAGTATTAAGCAAAATTTTGAAATAAATCCTAAGTATAATGATGCTTCAAGATTGAATCAGAGAGAGAGTACTTCAAGTAAAGGAAATGACAGCCATAATTTAAAAGACAAGTCAGATTCAGAAACAATCAAATCGTCAAATAAAGTTTTACAGAAAAAGTTAATGTTATACGAAAGGAAAAAAACAAATTTTCTAGACAGCTCTTTTACTTCATGTTCGGAAACATCTAATAAAGATTCATCGTCTTTGGAAGATTTTAAGGTCAGGAAAAAAGAAGAAAAAAATGAAATTCAAGATTCAGACGATGAAGTTATTAAGAAAATCAACGAAGAATACTCACCTCCGAATGTATATAAAGATTTTGAATGCCAAAACATAAACACAGATATACGTATGAAAAACTCCGTGAACCCTTTCAAAAATATTGATCCAAACATATCTATATTTGTAGAAAAACTGGTAACACCAATATTAATGGTACATACAAAAATGAACAAACGTATAGAACCTGTTTTCAATCTTAGGGATGTAAACTTCAATGGCAATATACAAATGGTTTTAAAAAATATGTCCATTGAAAACCCTATGATGTTGCAAACAATATCTTGGTTCTGTATATTACGGGGATACAGTACATTTATGATAAGTCCTGTAGGTAGTGGTAAAACAATGGGTTATTTACCAGCTATCTGTCGTTTGATATCTGATGTTGATATAGATAATTCAGAAAGTGTTGGTCCAAAATGTATCATAATATGTGCAACTGCTAAATCTATCGGTGAAGTTGAAAAGATATCAAAAATGTTTTTAAATGTGAACAATAAGGTGATCACATGTTTTGCCGGTGTTGATGATACATTGTTAACAACTTCATTGTTAAATGGCTGTGATTTATTAATTACTACCCCGTCTTACTTAGTACGATTACTACAGGTCACTGACTTCGGTGTTGATTTACGTCGTCTTGCAACAATTGTGATTGACGATTGTGAGAGATTAAGTGATGTTTACAGCAATGAATTGAAATATATAATGCTGAGAATTAAACAAACACTTAAAAATCGGGCTAATAAAGAGTTGAAAGTACAATATGTGGTAGCATCAAGAATTTGGTGTGATTTTATGGAACCAATAGTAAAGAAAGCCCCAAATTCTGTTGTATGTATTGGTGCGTTCCAGGAATGCGTGCTTTACTCAAAAGCGGCAATGTCTGTTAATTTTGTTTATGATAACTCTAAGATGCAAGCTGTTCATGATTTTCTTAACCAAATCGACGTTACTAAAAGAACTGTAATAATTTGTGTTACGGATGATGAAATATTTTTATTAAAAAAGGCTCTGGAGGAATATAGAAATTCAGTTTTCACCTGTGATAGTAGCATGACTATTCAAGATCTGTATAATTTGAGAATCACTTGGGATGAATACGAGGAACCATTGTTGGGCCCAATTCTATTATGTTGCAATGACACTTTGGCTCATATGAATATTACTGACGCCCACCATTTGCTTATTTATTCTCTTCCACCATTGTTCTCTACATTCTGTAGATGGTTTTCAGTTTTAAATGACAAATACCCTTCTATATTTAAATCTGACAATGAAATTGTGAAAATTAAAATATTAGTTGAAGAAAAAAATTTGGAACAGTTGCCAAAAATGCTTAATTTCATTAGACGATGCACTGATAATGCATTTCCACAACATTTAAATAACATCTGTAAAAACATTATGGCTGAAAAAGAAAAAGCCAAAGCCTTAAAATTTGTACCACTCTGTAACAATTTACTTGGTCTGGGTTATTGTCCAGACTATTGGAATTGTCACTTTAGACACAATTTTGTGGTAGATGTTGATATAATAAAAGAATGGATGCCATTAACTGGCCAAATTACGTTTAAAATCCTTCATTATCACTCCGCGGTATGTTTTTCAGCCAGATTACTTTCTAATACAGTGAACGACTCAACCGAGAAGTATCCACAAACATACAGTACGCTTTCATTAAAAATGGGAATGTATTATAGCAAGGAATCTAACAAGAAACCACTCGGTACACCAAAGATTGGTGACATTTGTGCGGTTTCTTTGAAACAAAACTTTTTTGCGAGATGCCAAGTCATAAAGATTTTAAACAAATATAAAAATGGTAATCCTAATTCTGTACTAATCAAACTCTTAGATGAAGAGAAGATTGAAACCACAAGGGATATTTATTTGTATTATATACCGGATAATCTGAAAATGATAGAAACGCATGTTGTTCAAGTGAGACTGGCTAATATACAGCCTAAAGATAAAGATGTCACGTATTCCGATCTTGCCAGAGACCAACTTAAAAGGATAACTGATGAAGATGAAGAGCTTTACATGAGAGCAGAAGTAGCCATGTCTATTGGAAATTGTGTTTTTGTAGATACATTAGAAGCTTGCCAGGACTTGGCATCTATAAACCAAACGGTCGTAAAACATGATTTTAAATCTGAACTTCTAGAGAAGCATGCCATACCAAATATGGAGCATTTAGATAAAATTAAAAAGCTTTATGACGACAAATTTGAAATTACAGTAAAAACGGATACTCGTAAACCTTTAGAGCCGACAAAACCTACAACGATTGGATCATGGGCATATTTAGATAAAGACGAAGTGTCATTGGTGTTATTCGGATGTGCTTTAAGTCCAAGTAATTTCTTTGTGCGTCTTCAAAAGTTTGAGTCGTGTTTAAATATGTTAGTAAAGGATATACAGAAGTTTGTTGCTGAGAATCCTAAACCATTGAGTAATATCAAAGTGGGTGATATTGTGTTAGCTATGTTCCCAGACGACGAAACATTTGAAAGAGCTCGAATCGATAGCATCATTGACAAACATAAAGTACAATGTTTCTTCGTAGACCAAGGTGATTGGAGAGAGGTGTCCAATAAGAAAATAATAGCTATTAAAGAAGAATTTGTATCAAAGTTACCGTTTCAAGCAATCGAATGTAGTCTCATAGGTGTTTTACCTGCTGGAGATGAATGGACAGATTTTGCAACAAATTGGTTCTCGAACATATGCTTTGATATTGACAATAATCATATGAAATCTTTATATGTAAAATGTTTTACAAAATATAAAGCTGAATTTACTGGTGGTAACAAATATGGTGTTATAATGATTGATAGCAACAATGATGATGATATTGTTTTAAATCAAGTTTTGATTGACGTTAGTTTGGCAAAAGAGAATGAGAGTGAATTAAAATATTTGGATGAATGTGATCCGATCAAGATGAGATTAAATTCTTCAAACAATGAACAGCTCACTGATTCAGAAGTAGAAAATGAGGATAGTTTTGCAATGTGTAAGACTAACAGTGTAGAAGTAAACAATACGTCAACGTTAGACTCTATTTTCAAGCAACCAATAAGATCTGTGCCTTTGGTAGGATCCGATGATTCAGATGATTCAGAATGGAATATCAATATGGCTGAAGATTTTCTGAAAATGTTCAAACCTTTTACTAAAAATAATGACTGTAAAACAAATGATGATAAAAATTTACCTGTAATTATGAATGGGACAGCAAAGGACGTAAACACGTCCGATGAAAAGCCTAAAAACATTTTACCAAAAGAATCCCAATTACAAAATAATACCAAAGAATTAGATTCCGATGATTTAACGTCACCAGAATCATCTGATATTATAAATACACCAGAGAAAAGTGTCATAAAATCTCTTTTAGTTACAGATAATATACGAAAACCAAAGGTAATTTGGCGTCAAAATAAAAAGTTTGTATTCGTTAAAGTCAATCTTATAGGTTTACAGATGTATGACGTTAAAATTGAGGGTAGAGCTATAAGTTTTGCAGCAAATTTGAATGACGTAGATTACGCATTCGATATCGAACTGTACGGGGTAGTAGACGTTATGAAGTCTTATCATTGGAACAAAGGACAATATGTACTTATGAAATTACATAAGATATTAAATAAAAACTGGTTGACATTAACAAAAGATGGAGAAATAAGGAAATGGATTGTGTATGATGTTGAATCTATTGACGCATCGTCTGATGAAGACATTATAGAAGAACATAATAAGAAAGCTATGTTGAATGCAATACAAAATATTTATAATAAACAGGACACAGATAGTGAAGACGATGAATTCAGGGATGATCTGAACTATGGAAATATAAGAAACAATTAAGATGCTTCGATTTTTTAATAAACATAAGTTTACGTGACTTATAATTCGTAATACAAGTAAAAAAAAAATACAGACGAATTGATAACCTCCTTTTTGGCTTCCGACGAAAAAATAACCAATAGAATTGCATGTTTTTAACTACAATTTAGTGAATTTGGGATTAACTACGATAAGTCTCGGTTAGTTGTTTCAGAATATTTACAATCTAAACTTACTCCGCTGGCGCATCGACCCAAAGTGGGTCTTGGCCTCCGACACAAGAGATTGCCAATGTCGCTTGCCTTGCGCCTTCTCCTGCCAGTCCATCGCTTGTAGCTTACGCAGATCCAGCACTACGGCGTTTCGCCAGGGGCGTACAACCTAAACAGACATAGAAAATTTGATAAACATGACAAGACAACTTCAGTTGGATCTCGGTGACGCTTTTTTTAATAAGGTCACATAACTGTTGGTCTAATTTTTTAGAGTATAGATCTCAAAGTTTCATGAAAAACACAATTTTCTTGCAATGTATTTTTGTGACCTATGTTTATACTCAAACAGTTGGTTTTCATTGCCGAAATAAGTGTACGAAAACCTTAAATGTCCTTTCGATCTCTTTGAAGAGATATGTTTTGATACATGTATTTCGGCAGTGTAAACTTACGGTTATTGAAAATAAGATACTGTTTGTAGGTTTATTAGGTTAAAACTAACAATCGTATGATCTGTTTATAAGTATTTTAGTTTCCAATATTTCAATATAATGTTCCTTGTATATTCTAAGTTACTATTAAAGTCTATACAAAAGTCCGCCTGCACTATAAGTATAGGATGAATAAGATTTTATTTTGTTTCTAATAAATTTATTAAAAAAAATAACTAAGACTAACAGTAGTGGACTTATAAAAGTTGACGATCCAAAGCCTATTTTCATCAACAAACTACACTTTCTAAGCTCTCTCTCTCTCTGCCTAGCTTGCATCCCATAAAGTGGTGGGGTCAGCTTAAATTGGTAAATTCCAGAATATTTCCTCACAATTGTTTTACAAAATAAATAAATTAAGTAACGTAATTAAGCATCTATGTAAGGAATTTGACGATTTTCTACGTAATTTAGACGTAAAATTGTAACAAACAAGAAAGCGTCACTAATAAAGCATTCTTTGGAGTCTAAAATTGATGTAAATAATAAAGGTAATTTACTATATTCGAAATTGTCATTAGTTTAAGACCAATCATGAAGTAATGATTCAATGAATGACTGTTTGATTCATTATTTCTACAGTTCAAGGTCAAAGGCCCTATCCTATAGGAATTACTTTTGAACTTTGTGCATTTTTTATTAAAAAATTTGCTTATATTTAACGAAGCGCTAGAATTACATTTATTATATTATTGCATTTAAAATATGTATATATCTTAATACGTGATGAAACCTGCACATGTGGGAAGAATTCAAAGATATGTGTGAAGTTAACACACACTGGGCCTGCGTGGTTGACTATGGCCTTGTCACCCCTAACTTAGGGGAGGCTCAGAGTCCCTCAGTGGAGACGTAAACTTGTATAATAGACTGTAAGTTGTGCCAAATGGGAATCCGTAATCTCTGCCTACCATTTAGGGTTACTGGCGTGATGTTTGGATGGTCGCTTGGTTCTGAGCATCTGAAAAGGGTCTAAGGAAAGAATACGCTCTTTTCTTGGAGGACCTTGCATTTATCAGTTTGACATTTTTTTTAATTATTTTTTATTTACCATTCACGTGTTAAACAAAAACAACGTCAACTCATCGAAATTGTGATATTTGGTTTAAAACATGTTTAGTAACATTTTATTTTATTTCTTAATGTAGGTTGCTAATAAAATATTATTCTCAATTTTTTCAAAGAGGATAAGAGAGATGATTAATGATTTTCAGTTTTTTTTTAAATAAAATAATAGCAGATGTTTGTTAATTTACTCAAATTTCTTGTATCATTCCAACTAAGCTTTATACTTGTGCTAGGTTCACGACAATAGTCGAATAGATTCGACTCCCGATCTCGTGATCGGAAATCCGTGCCCTTAACCATTAGGCTATTGATGCTTCATTAGTTTTGTTAGTGAAAACCCACGTTAATTGTTTTAAGCTATAATATTTGATTAAAATAGCATTCCTGTTTAGACCTAAGTATTTTTTTTGCATAAATTCATTGAATGTTGTCATTGAATATGCATATATGTAATACCTAAAATAAATTTCATCTTAATATTTAGCCTTGTTTTTTTTATACCTTTTAATAGAAAATGAAATAAAAGACAAGAGTTATTCAACAATAATTTATTTTGATTAACATAATTACAATAAATATGATGTTTTTTTTCTAAATTACAATTTATCACGATTCACATATATGCTGAAAAAAATGAAATAAAATAAAGCATTTAGTCTAAAAATATTATAATATTAGATTTTTTTTATAAGAGTAGGGGGCAAATAAGCGGCGGGAACACATAGGTGATCGACACCCATGGACATCAACACCAGAGGAACTGCAGATGCGTTGCAGGCCTTTAAGGAAATGGTATGCTCGCTTCATGAAGGCCCCTAAGTCGTATCGTTAGTTTTGACAAAGCAATTATAATAATTATATTATGGAAAGTACAAAGTTGAATTAAACTTATAAAAGATAAAAATTCCCAATTCATTTTCAATGAATCTTATATAAATTAAATCAACATTTAAAAATAATCTAACATATTCATATAATCTTTTTTAAACAGATAAAATTAAATATTAAAAAAAAATAATACTGCTCTGTACCGTAATTTTTTTTTAATGTATTTTTTTCAAAGGTATTAGCGGAATGGTAGAAGAAAAGATATTGAGGAAATAGACAAAGGACATAAGCAGATTAAAAAGTTAAAGCAGAATAGGCATTCGGCGTTCACGATAGATGTCTAACAATAAAACTAAGAAAAAAATAAAAAAAATAGTTTAACATGCTTCTCCGATAGATGTCGTTATTCTTGTCAGAGACTTATTAGTAAGGAATTAATCGAAATTTTAACAGTGATTACATAATATATTAGTGGTAACATATTTAATAATTTATGATTAATTTACATTCAAAAACAGGACTAATTTGATAACATCATATTAAAGAAATGTCCGTTTTAGCTTCATAGTTAAATGACCTGCTTAAAACATCGATTAAAGTAAGAAGTAACTTCTAACGGTGAGTTCTTAAGACACGAATCTCCATTTAAAACATGTGTTATACCTGTTTTTATCAAAGATGACAGAAATGAGTTTTATACTGAGATTTTAATTTCAGAAACACACCGTTATTCAAGTCCTTAAAAATTTAAATTTGGAATTTGAATTTTCGCATTTGAAATAACCGTCATTATCTGTGGTAATAACTACAGAATTTATTGTTATCTCTATTTAATTCAAATAGAAAGAAAGGGATGGGTTATAGGTGTTACTATGGTAGACTAGTAGGGGGTGTGGTGGTAGGGGGGAAGTGGGAGGGTCAGTTTATACATTGAATCGTGTCTCAGATCCGTCAGCCAGCATGAGTGTGACAGTGCGAGAGTTAGTCCAGACGAGACGCGCGAGACGAGCGGGGTTGAGTCGCGCCACGTCCGCCATCGGCGCTGTGCTGTAACACTTCACGCAGCGAGTCTGCGCCGCGCCCAGACCGAACATACCTGCAACATAAATAGTATATAGTTAACATAGTATCTACTATTTGAGTTGGCACGTTGAGTATATCAGTATACTTAAGCGGGACGTGCCAAGTCATGTGCTCGGTCAATTCAAGGCTATTTTCTACTAACGAATTCTATTAATTTGTTTACTGAGGCACAATATATGGTCATTATACGACAAGAAACTTACGAAACAACCCGCATATTGTTTACGATTTAGTTTCCAACTATTCGAGTATGAAATGGTTAAAATTGTCTTATTTCGTATGTAGAGTTCAGTTTAAAATTCAAATAGTGGATATAAGATTTGCATTTCTAAAAAGTTTGATGTTGTGTGTGTGTGTGGTGAGATGACTGACCGGCGGTGGTCTGCCAGAAGGAGAGTCGGTTGTCAGCGGTGGCGTAGGAGACGAGGTAGCGGCCATCAGGGCTGAAGGCGCAGGCTGTGACTGGACCGCCATGTGCCGCCAGCGACTGACACCGCCCTGCGCGCAGCTCGTACAGCGCCAGCTGTCCAGTGTGACTGCCCACTGTACACATAAAAACATACTAGTATACGTCTTTTCTAATATCTTGATGACTCAAGGTCATCCTTGTATACCTAATTTACTCTGTACATCGATTCTTACAATATTACGAGCTATCAATATATACGACAACTTTATACAACAGCAAAGACCAGATTACCAAAAGCTGGTCCACTAATGTCTTAACAATAGCGAAAAAAAAAAGAAAAAAAGTTACTTTTCTACGGAATTCAAGAAGACAATTCAAATTACATAAGTCCTTAAAATTGTTATAAGTAGTTTAGCTTACAAGATACAATATAAGAATGTCATATAAACAAAACACATTAGTTAGGAGAATAGTTGTAAAATATTGTCACCTGCAATCCTGCGCGTGGCGGGGCAGTGGGAGACCTGGTTGTATCTACAGATGGCAGGGAACACCTCGTTTAGACCCTTACTCTTCAGGTGGGACTGGTCCACGCAGTGCAGAATTATGTCCATCACCTGTTAAAAGAAAAAGAACAAAGGAATATTTTGTTACATAGTTACCCTGAAAACTTGTTTTTAGCATCAACGACCATGGCTAAAGAAGAGCCTGTGCGTGATATTACATGATTGCACAACAAGAACAAGAAGGTATTACTACGTTCTGCATGTCCGGACTCAGTTTCATCCGGGGCTGAACTGGTTGTATATGCTGGTCCTTCGAGCCGGATGAGACTGAGTCTGGACATAAAGAACGTAATGCACGGGTGGTTCACCTCCTATGTGGAGATATAAAACCTTCTTGTTCTTGTTGTGTCGTCGATACGGACACTAGTAGATGACCCTTTCAATGTAAAAAACTGCCATAAGAACCTTGTGGGTTTGCATTATGTTTACCTCAACAAGTAATTCAGCGACTTCAGCATGCATCCTGTCGATGAGCAGCTCGATGCCGCGCAGCACCTCGGCGCGTCCTCGCTGCAGCGCGAGTGCTGCTGGCGGGGGCGGAGCGCCTGCAGCCGCCGCCGCACATCGCGCCACCTCGCGCGCCATCGTCGTTATAAATGCAGCCGGTCTGCATACATAACATTAATATCCCACTGATATAGATACGTTCATTAGAAACTATAGCTTCTGTTTCAACTAACCGTCGGCTTCTGAGACAAAAATTGCCGTTTCAAACATATAGTTATTCTTTTTTATCAATGACAATGACAAGGATAACGCTATGTTTTGTACAAAGTACAAAGTTGGTTTCAGGAACTAACGATTAAACGCACCTCTTGAAGTTCTTGACGGGTAATTCTATGTCTAATAGTTTCTATCTTCACCACCGCTACGAATCGAAAATGTCAGTTCCAAAACAGCAAAAATCAAATAGACACGTAATATCATAGTTCATAACCTGTCCATGTAAATAGATTAGTGAGGTGGAAATGACAATTTTTGCTTTGTTTTTAAATAAACGTGAACAAACAGTAATATAGTTAGTGTGACCTGGAAGTGGCGATGAGTGTGAGTGCATGCCGCGCTGTGCGACAGCTGTCAGCCTGTGGGGTGAGCGGCAGACCGTACGTCATTGACGGCACTAGCTTGTCCGCGTCGGAACACATCTCCAGCAGACCTGGACACACATCCTTACATCGAAAAATGTCTCTAACAACTTCATAAACTTCAAATAATCCATGAAATATTATTTTGTAGCTTGGCATAATGAAATGACACAGCAAACCATCAAAAGATCTTATTTGGACTGGTGAGAGAGGCGCTGTTTTCGTGGTTAGGTCTGTCAGAAAATATGTAAAACCTACATGGACATAGAAAAAAACATAAAAGGAAATCACATGAAATGATAGTTACAGTGAAAAAAAGGTCTGATGACACTTTTTCGAGTTTGTCAGTGGCGCTAGGGAACTCATAATTTATTATAACTTATGCTCACTGATCAGACATCCTTGTCAGTCCATACGTACTGTAACCCGATTGACATACTTAGGTATCATGAAATATAAGTTTCTTAAGTAAAAATAACATGAGATATAAAGGATCACCTAGCAGCACATGGCTGACATCCAAATATGGCTCCCAAACAGCGAAGCCCCG